CCAGTAACATGGACCTGCAAGTTTGTGCATGCTTTGGGAAACACAGAGTGGTATCGCAGTGTGTAACTGATACTGTGAGAGGAGTTTGGTGCAGCTGGCTGGTCTGTGGCTGTTCATGCTTCTGTCTTCTCTCTCGCTGTATTCAGTGATGTAATTAAATGTAATTGATGCTCCACAAGATGGAGACTAACACAGGAAGGGGATCCCCTGACACCCTTTTCCATCTCAGTGGGGCTGCTGTGCAGAATACCTGTGGAAGGCAGGCAGTTGCTTGGGACTCTTTTCACTTGCGGGTTTCCCGCGTGCCACAAAGCCACTCACGCTGGGTGACAAAGCACTGGCAGAAGTTGAATTTCAGGAGAATGCAGAAACTGCAAGTAAACTTTGATTCATTATCATTAGCCATTTCTGTTACCTGGTTAGTGTCCTAGACTAAAAGCTTCAGTAGGCTGCTCCTTTTAAGGCTGTAAAGAGCTCGTGTTTTACAGGAACGAGCCAAAGAAGATTATCGCCAGGAAATTGAGTGGTGTATTCGACTGATTTCTGACTATCGAATTAGAGTAGGTAAGGAGATGTCATTCATTCTGATATACATTGGAAAATAGATAACACCAAAACTGTCAGCTTTGTTTTACAGGCTTAAGTGAACTGATAAATAACTCTGTTTTGGGCTTTTTAGGTTGTCATTCTTTTACGGGATCCTTCTTGGAATATTTTGCTGATGATATCAGTAAGTGAACCTGTTACCTTTAATATTCTCTTGGGAGGCAAGTTTAGCTCTGGTGTCTACATATGTGTTGAGTGAGGCTTCAGACCCAGTGAGGGAGGACCAGTGACATTCTCACACCATTATTGTGCTTTAAGGGTTATCAGAACCACAACAGAAGTTAAATATTATGACAATTGGGGAAACCACTTATTTCACCTTATGGAGAGTTAATTTTAGAGCTCCTGTCAGAGCTTCAACTCCCTCATTTTTCTTAAGGCAACATCTTAATATTTTTTTTTTTGTGGTGGTTTTTTACCCTCTTTGTAAGGGAGGAAAAAACCACACCACTTTATCAAGCAAGTCCCTTATGTTCAATTTGTGTACGTAATCATGTATGAATGATTGTGGCTTTCCTTTCAGGCTACCCAGTTAGAAAGGAAGGTTATCAAGGTTTAGTCCAAGTCACCTTTCCAAATGTGGCAGAGGAAGATACTGAAGAGTCTTTATCAGAAACATCACTTCAGAAGCCCTCCAGGAAACTTCTTCCTGATAGGACACGAGCTGCTAGAGATAAAGCAAATAAGAAGATAGTGGAGTTTATAGTGAAGACTAAGGGGGCTGAAGAGCATCTTTTGGCTATTTTGAAAAGCAGAAAACAATCCCGGTGGCTGAAGGGATTCCTGAATTCAAGACAGTATGTGACCTGTGTTGAAACCTATTTGGAGGATGAAGAGCAGCTGGACCTTGTAGTGAACTACTTGAAGGAAGTGTATCATGAAATAGAGGCTAAACATCTGCATCACATAAATGGAGATGGAATAAAATTTATTTCAGATGTCCTTTTGCCTGAAGTAAGTAAACAAGGAACACTGAGAACCTACACCTTAAAGGAAGGAAATGACATTAGTGTTTTGTGATTTGAGTTCAGTGACTTGCAGTGCTCCTTGCGAGCTGAGTGGTGATTGAGCTGAGCATGTATGTTCACACCTGCACGGTCCCTGCAGCTCCAGGGGCATGAAACTGCTTAGTTTCTTTCTATATCTTGGGCAAATACTATTCAACTCCACGCAATCCTAAGTTATGTTTGTGGGCTGTTAAGCTGTCAGCACAAAATGGAGAAGCTTTAGGTGGTATGATGCTTTTAAAGGCAGAATTGTTGCTTTCAAATCTATTTGATACTTTCTGAAACTCTTCAAATCTTTGGGTTTGAGGTGCTTTTGATTAATTTGGCAAGTTATCGCTGGGGTTTCTTGAGTTCTTTGTGCTTGGGAGGTGGTGGGTTGGTTTATACAGTTACACTTTTAGACATTTAGTGTCCTTCCTAGGAATTTTCCCAGCACAACATTAGTAACCTCTGTAGAAACAAAATTACTATGAAGAGTATCATCTGTTCTTAAAATACTCTCCTGGGAAAAAGAAAGGGCAAGTTTATGTTACTTACAAGCTTCAGGTTTTATCCAACTTCCCTAAGTGATTGATTTTAGAATAAGGCTCCTCATTGACTGGGACAGTTCATTTATACTCGTGAAATAAAAGCTAAATAACAAACAGTGATTTGGAACCAATTACTTTCCTAGGCCATCATTTACGCCATTTCTGCTGTGGATGATATAGATTACAAGAAGGCAGAAGAGAAGTACATCAAAGGGCCATCTGTGAGCAAGAGGTATCTTTTATTTTTAGTATGCTCTGAATTTTTGTTATTACTTTGATGTTTATATAGAAAACAGCATAAGGGCAGGAGAGGCCAGGATCCTCCCTCCTGTATGGCAATTTTCTTTCATTGTCTTAAGTAACAAAATGATTATACATGGAAATGTTCTTGCTGTGTTACAGTAACACCCTGCAGACATTTTCATATGGTGAGGTTATTTTTACGACAGAACTTTGTGCTTCTTTTCAGGGAGAGAGAAATCTTTGATGAAGAAATCCTAGAAAGAAAGAAGTGCAAGACCAAACCAGCACTTCCAGATGGTGTCTGAACAGCAGCACAACCTTTCCCCAGCTCCCCTGGCACTGAGTGTATGTCATGAAGCGCTTATTTGTATAAAAAGTGTAATTCTTACTCTTCAAAACCTGTTTGTGTATCTCTGAAAGAGGTAGTCATTGCACTGCTCTTGGATGCGGTCCTGTCTTCAGTCCTTGCTCCCCATTCTGTGCCCTGGAGCTGTTCTTGCTGTGTTGAACTGCCTGTGAAAGATGCAACAGGCCTTGGGAGCACTGTGGGTGTGTGGCTGCCTCAATCCTCATCCATTCAGCATCCTTAACATGGAACTGCAGGTGTTTTGCAGAGATTCTTGATAGAATGCTGAGTTTTGTAGGAATTATTTTGGCCAAATAGCTGACAACGAGAGGGCTGTTCTCTTTGAACACAGACTGGTGGAGGATATAGCCATGTGTTTCTGGGTGACTTTGCCACTACTGAATGTCTGCGGGTTTCCTGTATAAAAACATTCCCACTGGATTGACTGTTCCTGCTTTACATGTCTCAGAGTGTGGGGAAATAAAATTGGTAGCTAATGATGCAAGCAGAATAACGAAGGCTTTGTTTTTATTGATGGAATAGCTGTAAAACCCAGTGGGAAAGGAATCCAGTGTTTGCTTAAAAGAGCAAACCCCATTCACCTTTCCATGTGAAAGTGAAACTGTTTTGAATGCTGATTCATTGCTTTTTGAGGCCAGAATTTTGGGAGGAGTTATTTGTCTTTATCTGATTTAAATACAAATTCCATCCTGTAGGTCCAGCTTTTTGCAGGTCTGGCACATTGCAAATTGCCTTTAATGTGCAGTGTTATTGGTGACCACTTAATGATAAAACCCCTGTGACTTGTTTGTTATCTTGGGATGAAAACATTATGTGTTTCTTCAAGAGAAACCAAGAGAACTTGAAATTCAGAAGTTTAAATGTAAATTGAGATACAGATGTGTGTTCTGGCTATAGTTACTAACATATATTTTAATTATACATTTAATTACTTTATAATGTGTTTTAATATGCATTTGGAATCCTTATGTTATCAAAGCGCCATTAATGAGTACCTAAACTATAGGTGACTTGGCTCTCAGTTTATCCTCAGGTTCCCTCTCCTTCAGAACATGATCTTGTGTGCACTTCCCACGTGAAATTCCTAAAGTACTGTTAAGTTCTTTCTCCAGCCCCCTGTATGGCAGCAGAGCTCCCCATCCACCTCGCCTTCATCTCAACCCTTTTCACACCTTTCACTATCCCAGTTTGATTCAGTGTGGACAAGTTCTCCTTTCAGAAGTCAAACTGTGCTGTGCCAAAGGCTGATGAAGAGTGTAAATGTGATTTGGAACACTCTCAGCTGTTTGTATCTTTAAAAACCACCTTCAAACCGCCCGTTACAGGTTCCTTACAGGGCTGTTTGCACCTCGGGCCCAAACTCAGTCCTGAGATGTACAGGATTGTGTTGTCAATCAATTAAAGGTTGATGAAGTGAATCGTTAAAGGTTTGCTGCTCTTGTGTGCTTCAGTTCTGCCGAGCAGGATGCTGCTGCTGTGCTTGCCTGGCCAGATGCTTCCACCTCTATTTCACACTTTTTGTGTATCGGATAAAGCTGCACTATTGTGCTGCAAGTGCCAGTTTCATGTTAAATACAGTGGGGTGAGTACAAGAAAACAGATGTGCTGTTGTCTGGTCCTGTGCTTCATTTGAAGTTCTCCCCTCTGCTGAGACCAAGCTGCTTGTTGAACTCATCCTGTTTAACTAAAGCAGCTTCCTTTGCTCCGTACCGACATTAAAATGACTTGGAGCCGGGTTTTGATGCCTTCTCCGGCACTGGCTTTAGTGGCGTTTTGCAGCCCGAGGCCCGGCAGGAAAAGAAGCGGTTGCCGAAACCCGGGATCGAACCAGGGACCTTTAGATCTTCAGTCTAACGCTCTCCCAACTGAGCTATTTCGGCTGCGCGGAACCGCTCCCCCCGCCCCTCCCGTCACCGCCGGCGGGGCCCCGGGAGCCGGCCCGGCCTTGCTGCCACAGCAGCGGGCGCGGCGATGGCGGCGGCGACAGTGCGGTCTCTGTGGCGCAATCGGTTAGCGCGTTCGGCTGTTAACCGAAAGGTTGGTGGTTCGAGCCCACCCAGGGACGCCCGCTCCCTTTTTCCTCCGCGGCTCAGCGGCACCGGTCGCGCCCGACTCCTCCCGCTTCGTTTTACCGAGGCCCGCGGAACTCCCCGCGCAGCCCCGTGTTCCCCGCCGGCGCGCTGAGGCGGTGCACCGGGTCCGTGCCGGGCCGCTTAGCCGGGTGCACCGCGCCCAGAGGTTGCCTGAAGGGCTGCGGGCGAGATGGCGGCGCTGGGCTGTGAGCGGGGCCGGGACGGGGCTGAGGGGGGAGCCGGGCAGCGGGCGGGGGCCGGGCTCGGGCCGTTCCCTTCCCTTCCCCGCAGTGGCGGTGTCCGGCCGGAGCTGAGCTCTCCCGTCCTCTCGTTGCAGGTCTTCGCCTCCCTCGGCGCGGAGCCCTGGCCTGGCGGTGAGGGCCGGGGCTGGCTGGGGTCCGGGGGGGGACCGCATTGGGTGCTCGGTGTTTTCTGTTCCCTGAGCGCTTGGTTTCTCCCTGCCTGGGGCCGTTGTGCTCCCCGCAGGGTCCGGGTCACCGTGGTCACACAGCGGGGGGTGTGCTTCTTTCCAGGCCCGCTGCCGTGGCGCCTGTTCGCAGCCGACTGCTCCATCAGACGCCGGTGGCTGACCAGGCCGACAGGTACCGCTGGGCCCATCCTCCTTGGGGTGAGGGATCCTCAATGGGACAGGGCAGGAAACCTCCTGTGCGCAGCAGCTCTGTCTGTGCCTGGCAATCCCCTCCTCTCTTCATGTCTTAAACAGCCAGGTTGCTGTCAGCCTGGACATGAGCCCACCGGGCCCCCTCTGTAATGTGGGTACGGTGAACACAGGGGCTCTGAGCAATAACCACAGTGCTCCCCACAGTGAGGGGAGCATCCCTCTCCCTGCTCTAACACAGTCTTCAGTGGGTGTCCATAAGCGGTGTGCCATGGGATCACTGCTCCCTGGGGGTGATGGTTGTATGCAGTTACACTGACTAACCAGAGCCTGACACTCCTGTGCTCTTTGTCTTCAGCTCTGTCCAAGTCCAGCAAAAGAGCTCAGCCATCGTGCAGAAGAAGTCCTACGTCCCCAGCAGCAGGGGTGAATACATTGTCACCAAACTCGATGACCTGGTCAACTGGGCGAGAAGGGTGAGCGTCTGAAACTCGTGCTCGCTAGGGAGCGATGGTGTTGAATGCTTGGAGGTGCTGCTGGTGCGAAATGGGGTTGAGCCGTCTCAGGATAAAAATAGGTTCAGAATTCTCCAGTTTCTTGGCCGAGAGGTTGGGGTTTGGGAGGGTGGTGCAGAGCAGTGCCTGTCTGAGCAGAGCTGACCTTCAGACACGAGCAGGAGGTGCCTTCTGGTTTCCTATAATCCTTGTACCGAGTGGCTGCTCTGTGCCATGGAGAAGGCTGAATCCAGGGTGCTCTGGAGTTTTGCCTCCTGCAGTCACCGCTGCCCTTGTGCAGGGCTGCTGAGTGTGACATGTTAAGGGGAGCGTCTTCACCTCTAAGCACGTTCAGCATCCCTGAGGCTCCAAACACTCAGATCTCTACACGTCTGTTCCCCTGCAGCGGTGCGTTTTGCTCGCCTGCATAACGGCAAACACCGTTTTCACTGAGCACACCTTGAACCTTCTCTTGTTCTGTTCCGTTCTCTATCCGATCACCTCTTGCCCTTTGAGTCACGGCTCTCTCCACAACCTGCCTCTTGTGCTGCAGAGCTCCCTGTGGCCCATGACGTTTGGCCTGGCCTGCTGCGCCGTGGAGATGATGCACATGGCAGCTCCTCGCTACGACATGGACCGCTTCGGGGTGGTGTTCCGAGCCAGTCCCCGGCAAGCCGACGTCATGATCGTGGCTGGCACCCTCACAAACAAGATGGCCCCGGCTCTTCGGAAGGTACTGGGGCTGCAATGGGCACCTCATGTGCTGGGAGGCAGTGGGGACTGAGCTGAGCTGTCTCTGTCCTGCAGGTCTACGACCAGATGCCAGAACCTCGCTACGTGGTCTCCATGGGGAGGTAAGTGCCAGGACGTGCTTGGTGCCTCCTGCTTGGTGGGAGAAATCTGCTTGAGCCAGGGAGATGAAGGGAGAGGAACCCATTTCTCAGTTTCCTTCCAGCCCCTGAAATTACATAAGGAGCCTTGTTACAAAGGAAACATAAAGGCTCCCTTTCGTTAGGGTGAGGAGCATGATGTCTGTCAATCCCTGTGAACTGCAGAGTTTTCCCTGGGGTTTTGCAGCTCTCAGAGTCTGGGGACTTGCACATGTCCAGAATATCAGACCTCGTGTTTAGATGAAACCTTTCAAACAGCTTCTACAGCACAAGACAGAGCCTCAGCTCTGAGCAGCCCTGGCACGGTGGAGCTGCCAACCTGTGTGTCTCCTGGGGCTGAGGGCAGTCATTTCACCAGGGCCTGGAGTGGAGAGAACAGCTCTAGAAATGCTCTGTGCAGATGTGGTGAAATCAAAAGGGGTTTGCTGGATGGAGGAAGGACTGTTTAAATACCTGCTTCGGAGGAGTAATGAAAATGGTTTGGTTTGGTTGGGTTTGATTCATAGAACCACAGAATGGTTTGTGTTGGAAAGGACCTTAAGATCATCCAGATCCAACCCCCTGCCATGGGCAGGGATGCCTCACACTAAACCATCTCACCCAAGGCTCTGTCCAACCTGGCCTTGAACACTGCCAGGGATGGAGCATTCACCCCTTCTTTGGGCACCCTGTGCCAGCGCCTCAGCACCCTCACAGTAAAGAACTTGTTCATTACATCCAACCTGAACTTCCCCTGTTTAAGTTTAAAATTCATCTTGAAGTGTAACTCCTTGCCTGCAGCACTCTGATGAGGCCCCAGCCTCATGTTATCCTCTGCCTCCTACTCCCCTTTGCCTCCTGTCTGCCCTAAGCCATGTGTAACCAAGCTGAAACCTGCCCATCTCTCGCAGCTGTGCCAATGGAGGGGGTTACTACCACTACTCCTACTCCGTGGTGAGGGGCTGCGACCGCATCGTGCCGGTGGACATCTATGTGCCAGGTAGGAAGGGTGGCCCCACGTGCCATGGCTCCAGCTCGGAGCAGCATGGCAGGGAGGTTAATTTTGCCTGTTTGGACAGTGCTCAGTGGAGTTTCTCAAGGTCTTTCTGTTTCAAACTGGGGTGGTGAAGTTGCAGACGCTTCAGTAAGATCCAGTAAGCGAGTGGGGTGGTTCTGGTGATGCTACTCACCAGTAACCATTGTGTAAAGGGTGAGCTGTAGTTTAGTCGACCACATACTCTTGTGAGATATCCCTTTATTGGAAAGTGAAGCATTTCTATGGTTTAAAAAGACCTTTCCAGAAAAACACTTCAGTTTCTTTCAAGAACAGAAAGCCTCTTGCTTTTTCAAACCCCACAGCCAGTGGCAAAGGCAGAGGGAGATGGAAGCTGCTTGCAGGCAAAGCTTGGGGTTTGTCACTTCTCCATCTGCTGGCTACACTTCAGTGCAGCAAGCAGCCCTGTGGCTTCCTTTTTGTCTCTCTCAGGTTGCCCACCTACAGCTGAAGCTTTGCTGTATGGAATCCTGCAGCTTCAGAAGAAAATCAAACGGGAGAAGAAGATTCAGATCTGGTACAGGAAATAGCCTCTTATTTATGACCCCCCCCCTTGCTTGCTTTCATACGCACAATCAACCCGTGTCCTCACACGCCTTCTAATAAAAGTCTACCTGGTTAAGACACCCTTCTGTCATTAATGCATCTTTCCTGTCTGAAGTGTCCTAACTCATGGAAAAAACACATTAAAAAGCAGGAGATGGATTTGGTAACATTCACTGTGGTGGTTTCGGATCTGAATGGCTCTGAAGGAGGATGTTTGAAGTTACCTATCGTGACATAAAGGCTTTGCCTGAAACCTGGGCCTTGCTCTTTGGCTTTGTGGGGAAGTTTTGAGACCAGCACAGGTCCAGGCCAACCCTGAGGCCTCCCCGAGCTCATCTCTTACTACCTACTTTTTACTTACCATTCCTACAAAGGATCTAATAAATCCTTTATATCTGTGTGCAAAGCAGCCAGAAATCAATTCTATTTCTGTAATGTTAAGTAAAATAATGCTAAAAATGTGACTACTAAAAACGAATGCTGCAGCACTCCTTGGTACAGGAGGAATGGAGCAGCCCTGGCAGGTTTTGGTGCTGGATGTGGCCTGGGACAAGGAGCAATCACAGCAGAATTACACACACACGCTTCTGAAAGACAAATAATTTGCTCTGAATCAGCAATGGTTGATTTCATTTGGGTTCTTTAATGGATTTTATCCCTTCTGGGTAGAGAGAGGAAACGTCATTCACGCACTATTGAACTGCAAGGAGGTTGTGAGGATCAGAACTCGCTGCAGTGGGCTTCGGACATAAGTACTGGGAAAACCAGCAGGGAATTGCTGCAGGAGCAGCCAAAGTGCCTCCAGCCACCCTGGTTCCTGCTTCTGCCTGGTTCAGGTCATTTGGCCACCAGGGATTTCTAAGAAGGATCCAGGTTTTAGAGGATAACATCTCATCCTTGAAGCCCTTTGGCCAAAGGCTCTGCACCACGCGCTGGGATTACAGCTTCACTGAGGTCATCAAGGAGGTCTGTGTCCTGAGTGGGAACTACCAGCACTTGGGATGGATGCTTGGATACTGGTGGGACTTTGCAGAGCCCAGAGGCCCCTCCAGGGCAAGGGCTTCACGCTGGGTGACATCCTCTGGGTGACATCCGTGGTGGGGCCAGGAGTCCTTTTTCCAGAAGGTTCCTGAAGACCCAGGACTTCCATCCTAAGCCTCCAGCCACCTCCTGCCTCCAGGTAAATCAGCTTCAATCTTCTCGGCCTCAAAGGATGCAAGAGCTTTTTTCCTCCTCGAAGTGTGCATCATCAGTCTCCTTTCCTTAGTGTTTGCTTCCTGTGGCTTCAGCGCAGCCCCAAGGGATGGTGCCAGGCTGGCAGCACCCTCAGTGCTTAACAATGGTGGGGGTGATCATCTTGTGGAAGGAGTAGTACCTGCAGTCCTTGGGGGAGACCAGGTCCATCACCGTTGTGCTGATGTTCTCCTTCTTGAACCCGGCCTCCAACAGGTGCCCTACCTGGGTCTCCTGTGAGAGAGAAAGGCGCGAAGGAGCAGGCAATGGATTGAGCTGCCCAGATGCAAGTGGAGATGCTGAGCCCCAGCCTGTGTGGACACAGGACAGTACAAGCAGTTGCTGCAGGGAGCCTCATCTTGGGCTGCTGTGGGCAAAAACCTGTTGACCTTCCCTTAATGTTCCCTGCTAAGCCCTGGCTGGAGGAGCTAAGGAGCTGGAGGGCTCCTGTGCTGCTCCATATCCACAGTGTCAGCCACGTGCTCGGGGATGCAGGAGGTGCACAGCCCGAAGGGGCAGCTTTGGGACCCTGGGTTGGGCTGGGGGTTCCAGGCCCTCCCCAGCCTGAGGAACAGTGCTCACCTCAAACATCTTCTCGATGTCGGTGTACTTGGTCTTCAGCAGCTCCCCCCAGGAGGTCAGGTTGCAGTAGGTGAGGACCCCTCCGGGCTGCAGCAAGCGGAAGGCATGGTCCTGCAGTGGGGATGGAGGGGGGCTGGCTCAGCACGTGGCTGCCACCTTACCCCCCTCCAAGCTCTCTCTTCTCCCTGCAGAGGCAGACATTGCCCCAGCCCTCCGCACCCTCCTGCTGCTCCCCCACAAGCAGCCACCATCGTGTTGGGGACTTTGAGGTTTCCCCACAGGGCAGGGAGGGGGCTGCAGACCAAAACCCAGCTCTGACTTCGGCTCCTGAGCTCTCCAATCTCCCCCAAACCCACCCAAGCCAGGAGCTCTGGCCCCTTGCCCAGGGCAGCTGCACCCCAACCCCGTTACCTTGATGAAGGCGAACTGATGCGTGTGCCAGGTCTCCTCCGACAGCGGGTAGGTGTCATACAGGATCCCTGCCCGGGAACACCGGAGACCATCCATTAGCCAGAAGTCGGCAAGGTGCCGGTGGGGCTGGTGTGCCAGGGAGAAGATTCCCCCTTCCTGGCAGCCCTATCTCTGGCTCCCTCTTAGATAGGGACAAGGGACACCCATGCAGCCCATAGAGGGAGTGAGCCAGGCCAGGTGCTCACCCTGCCTCCCACTGTTCATGGTGCAGCAACGTGCAGGGACCCTTCTGTCTTGGGGCCCTGTCTCACTGCTCCCAGGTTCTGCTGCAGGGTCCAAGGAGGGGATCCTACCCCTCTGCTCTGCTCTCATGAGACCCCTCCCTGCAGCACTGAGTGCAGTGCTGGTGTCCTCAGCACAAGGACATGGAGCTGCTGGAGCAAGTCCAGAGGAGGCCATGAGGACGGTCAGGGGTTGGAGCACCTCCCATATGGAAACAGGCTGAGAACATTGGGGCTGCTCTGCCTGGAGACCTCAGAGCAGTTTCCAGTGTCTGAAGGGGGCTACAAGGATGCTGGGGATGGACTTTTCATTAGGGACTGTAGTGATAGGACAAGGGGTGATGGGTTCAGACTGAAACAGGGGAAGCTCAGGTTGGATGTAAGGCAGAAGATCTTTACTGTGAGGGTGCTGAGGCTCTGGCACAGGGTGCCCAGAGAAGTGGTGAATGCTCCATCCCTGGCAGTGTTCAGGTTGGACAGAGCCTTGTTTGACATGGTTTAGTGTGAGGTGTTCTTGCCCACAGCAGGGATTGGACTTGGATGATCTTCAGGTCCTTTCCCACCCAAACCAGGCTGTGATTCTATGACCTCCCTCCAGTCCCACAGGCCTGGCTGCAGGTATCTCACCACTGAAGTGCCCATCCGGCAGCGTCGGTGCCACGTCCTCCCACAGCCCCTTCATGGGCACGACCTGCAGGTGGGAGGGCAGCGCCGTGAGCCCCGGTAGCCGGCACCCACCGGCACCGTGCACTGGCACAGCCCCCCCCAGACCTTGTGGGGCTGCATCTGGGCCCATTCCTCCAGCCGCTGGAAAACCCCTGTGTTGCACTCGATGATCCAGTGCTCCTGGATGTTGAACTCCTGCACCTTGGTGGCAGCGATGCCCATGCCGAAGCCCACTTCCAGCACGCGGCCGCCTGGGGACAGGGTGGTTGGGCTTTGTGATCTTGGAGGTCTTTTTCAACCTAGTTGGTTCTATGGGTTTAAGAGGGCTGTGCCTGCATAGGGCCAGTGAACACAGTGCTTCCCGCACTGGGGTGAGAAGCCAGGAGCAGCCCCATGCCCACATCACCCACTGCCTCCCCACCTACACCCTGCAGCAGCCCTTTGCCCCCACTGAACCCCCCAAGTGGCTGCAGTGGGGACAAGCAACCTCTCGTCAAAGCCTTCCCTCCACCAGCAGCAGCACAGCCCAAAAAGCAGCAGGACAGAACAGGGCTGTGCTGTGCCTGCACCCCCAGACCCATCCCCGCTGGGGAATGTGTCACCCTGACATGAAAGCACAAGTGCCACCGTGGCCCTGCTCCTGCTGTCACTGCATGGGGACCACTGGCAGCAAGCAGGGTGCACACAGTGGGGTCCCCCGGCAGCAACACCCCAGCCCCATTGCTCACTCACAGGGAAGCTGCTCCGTTCCCCACACCTGAGCTGCACCCCATGGCACGACCCTGAGCCCCCCCAAGTTACCCCTCGACGCAGCCACGGCCGCCAGCGAGTGCATGTAGGGGGTTTCCCAGCGCTCCATCACCGGCTTCCCCAGGATCTCCAGGTGAGCATCGGGCGCATCGTAGCCGGCCGCCGCGTCCCGCCAGGCTGCCCGGCAGTCCTCGCCCTCCGTGAAGATCGGTGCCGCCGCTGCCCGGGCGCTCATGGCCGTGCCGTTACCGCTGCGGGGCCCAAAGTCCGCCCGCTGGACTCAGCGGTGCTGGGGGAGGGAAAGGGGCCGCTGGCTCCTGGTCGGCTTTAAATAACCAGGGCTGGAGAAGTGCTGAGTGTGCACAGCGGGATGGGGCCCTCCCGGGGGGAACGGAGCCCTTATCGGGAGCTGGGGGCCAGGCTGGGGCAGGCAGGGGCACGGGGACGGGCCCCGCTCCTGGTGGCACCGCACTGTGCATGGCCGGAGCGGGAAGGCCCAGCACCGCTTCGTGACGGGGCGGGCTGGACCCGTGCAAGGCAGGGACACACGGAGGAAGGGCTTTTCCCTGCGGGGCTGCACGGGGCCGCGCTCCGCCGTGCCCTGCGCGGGGTGACCCCGAGCCCCGCCTGCACCGCATGGAGAGGAAGGGCCGGGCCCGGAGGGGGTGGAGGCGGGCGGCAGGACCCTGCGGCGCGCCACGGGGCACACGTGCTGCGGGGCGGACTGCCCTTCCCGTCGGCCCCCGCGCGTTGCGTTGCGTTGCGTTCCGCTCCGCCCCGCCTTTCCCTGGGCGCGGCCCCGGAGACCCCGTAGCGAGGGGGGCAGGTGCGCGCGCATCGGCGGCTGGCGGCGCTGAGGGAGCGCGAGCGCGCGGTTGGGGGGGGGGCCGGGCCGGGGGCGGCCTTTGCGCAGCTCGGGAGCGCGCGCCGGGGGGGGGGGGGGGAAACGGGGGTAAACGGCGAGGAGCGAGTGCCCGGAGCCCGCGAGCTGCCGCTGGTGCCGCCGCTACCGCCGCCGGAGGGAAGAGCCGGGCGCGGCCCCGGATACCGCCGAGGAGCCGCCGCCATGAACAGCGTGGGAGGCGCCGACGAGATCGGGTGAGTGGGGGGGGGGGGCGCGGCCGCCTGAGGAGGAGGCAGCGGGGCAGGGTGGGGGG